AAGATATTCCTATTAAAACTCCCAAAAGCCTTTTAATAGAAATAGAAAAGCTCCTGCTAAAGTTTACACAGAACTGCAATTGACCCAAGTAGATAAAATCATCTTGAAAAGGAAGAGCAAAGTTGGAATGCACACATCCTTATTTTAAAATCTATTACAGAACTACAATTAATCAAAAGAGTATAGTACTAGCATAATAATTCCAATATACAGACCAACCTGGGTGTACTGGTATGCAACTTTAAATCCTAGCACTTGGGAGTCATAGGCAGGGCTACATAGTGAGACTAAAAAAACAAAAACAAAACTAAACTGAACCATAAATTCAACTTTAATGTTCAATTAAATCGAGAATATTAAAATAAATTGGATGGTAGTGATGCACACCTTTAATCCCAGCACTCAGGAGGCAGAGGGCAGGCATATCTCTGAGTTCAAGGCTAGTCTACTCTGCAGAGTTCCAGGACAGCCAGGGCTATGCAGAAAAACCGTCTTGAATGCCTTCCTCCTCCCCCCGCCAAAGAAAAAAGAATGGCAATGCCACTTAAGAGGGGAAACTATCTCTTTGACAAAGAGTTGTGGGACAACTTAATATCCCTATACAAAAGAATACAGGACCCTTATCTCACAACTCATAGAAAATTTAACTCAAATGATACCAAAACTAGATTAAACGAAATGAATGAGGATATGCCAACAATTTCTGCAAAGTAGCAAAACCACTAGCAACAAAAGAAAAAAAGTGGATTAACTCTACTTCCTTAAATACTTTTGGACTGGTGAGATGGCTCAGCAGGTTAAATGCACTTGCCAAGCCTGACTACTTGAGTTGCCTGGGATCTATTAGGTGAAAAGAGAGAACGAACTCCTACAAGCTGTCCTCTTGACTTCTACACATGTGCCATGGCATCTACACACACACACACACACACACACACACAAGTGTGATAAAAAGTAAGTACTTTTGTGCAAAGGATAGAGCAAAAAGACAACTTTTAACTGGATAAAATATTAGCAAACTATTCTATTTGCTGAGACTCTAGTATCAGAATATATGATGAATTCTTATAATTCAGTAACAAAAGATAGACTATCTGAAAACGGCCAGCATGGAGACATTAAAAAGCTACAAATGACAAACAAGGAGTTATATGCAAAAACATTAGTTATTGAAGAAATAAAATCCCAAACTGTCATTAACCCACTTCATACCCACTAGAATGGCCACGATAAAAACGGCAAGAAACATCATACATTGATGAGGACTCAGAGAAACTGTAAACTCTTGGATGCTAGTGGAAACAGTGTAGTGTGAAGATTCCTTTGTAAGTTTAGCACAGAATCACCATGTAACTCAGCAGATCCATTCTGTATACATTCTCAAAAGATTTTGAAACAAGGGACTAAACAAGTGTGTATACAATCCTTAAAAAGTGAAAACAACTACATTAGGTAAGCTTATGGCATACATAAAATAAATGCATATGTGTATGTATATATGTGTGTGTGTTTATGTACACATATAACTCAGTTATAAAGGGAATGAAGACCTGATACGTACATGAATGAACTTGAAAAACATTATGCTAAGTGAAAGAAATCCAATATAAGTCATGACTCCAGTGAGGTGAGTTATTTAGAAAAGGCAAATACAGACAAAAAAAAAAAAAAAAAAAAAGTTAGTGGTTTCCAGGGACTGCTTAGAGGAGGAATTGGAAATAACCACTCAAAAATGGGTGATGAAAATGTCCTGAAACTACAAAAATTTATAACTGTACAACACTTTGAACATATTAAATGTTTCTATTTGTTTTGTTTTGTTTCTGAGACAGAATTTCTCTGTGTAGCCTTGGTTGTTCTAGAACTTGCTTTGTAGGCCAGGCTGGGCTTGAACTCAGAGATCCATACTTGGGATTAAAGGCATGCACCACCTACGCTTAACCCAAAGCAAGGTTTCTGTAAGCAACTGACAAAAAATTATTAGTGAAAAGCATTAGAAAATGACACTTCATAAAATGTAATTCTACAAAGTCCCATTACCCGTGGGTCTTTCTTCTTAATAAACTGCTCTGGAAATTTTATGTAAATAAGAGAACAAAATATATAACATTTTTGCATTTGCAACAGTATACGGTATGGTAATTAAAACAGACAAAAATAATACAATTAAGGAAGTATGGGACAAGACATGGTGGTACACAGCTGTAATCCCAGCACTTAGAGTCCAAGACAGGAATGTCAGAAACTCAAGATCAGCCTGGGATATACAGTAAGACTCTGTCTTAAAGAGAAAAAAAGATTTACGGAAACCAGAGTACAACATAGACTTAGCAATTGCTTTAGATAGAGATGGCTACATGGAATAAACTGATGTCTTCTCCTGTACAAGAGGTAGAAACTTCAAGTCCATGGCAGAGATGTCATGTTAAGACCATTCAGCAGACTCAGGAACTGAGTTAGGAAACATCAGTAACATCTGCAAGTTTTGTTCAGAACAGAAATAATTAACAATATCAAGCACCATAACACAATAAGCATAATCTCTTCTTTCAACTTCAATCTGAAATACTTCTAAACTGACATTATGAAATTGCTGACTTTGACAGTTTTAATAAGGAATGTTTACACTTGCCCTTGATTTTCCTAAAGTGGAAATAATTGTTTACTTTCAGAATACTGGGATCTTTATTATAGTCTTACTATAGACTCTTCCACAGTTATCTTAAAACTCCCCCAAAAATAGAGAAAGTATAAAAGTAATCAAATGTGAACTGGCTTATTTTTCAGCTGAAATAGCATCAAGTTTTTAAAGAATTAGGAACTTTAGGACAGGGACCCGCTTTCAAGAGAACAAAGGTGGTATCAAAAGTCTCCTAGTAAGAACAACTCTACCTAAAAAAATTTTTCAGAGCAACTAGTTAGTGGTATTAATAGCCTCAATATCCCAGAGACCAACAGGGATAAATTTCAACACTGATGTTGATGGTTCAGTAAACAGAAAGCCACATTTTCTTGTCAAAAGAGCTCCTGTAAGGAAATCAGGGAGGAGCAGGAAAAACATGAAATAGCTACTTAAAAAAGAATTGGGATGTTAATTCTAATACTATATATATTCAAACAATGTGCAAGTTGATGCATTAGAAAGAAATAAGCCAGCCACTGAGTTCATGTCAAAGACAGCCCTGTGCCCCTTACTAGGTAACCCACTTGGATATTAAGCTGCCATGGGCTACAACTGTGCAAAGGTCCTAAGTTATCTCCATGCATGGTCCTTGGTTGGAGCATCAGTCTCAGAAAAGACCCCTGTGCCCAGATTTTTTTGGTTCTGTTACTCTCCCTGTGGAACTCCTGTCTTCTCCAGGTCTTTCTATCTCTCCCTCCTTTCATAAGAATCCCTGCACACTGCCCCTCTCTGATCACCTTCCCCCTAATGGGTGAGCAGCCTTACCAGGCCACAGAGGAAAACAACGTAGTCTTGATGAGACCTAATAAGACTAGGATCAGATGGAAGGAGAGGAGGGCCTCCCTTCACAGTGGACTTGAAGAGGGACAGGGAAGAGATGAGGGACGGAGGGTAGGATTGGGAGGGAGGGATGGGGCTACAGCTGGTATACAAAGTGAATAAACTATAATTAATATAAAAAATTAAAAATTAAATAAAAAAAGAAGCAACTTTTAAAAATACAGAGAGCTGGTCTTTGAGAATTTAAGAAAACAATCAATAGTAGACCTAAGAGTCCCAAGTCTCCTTAAGTTTCAGATTTAAGCTGTCTCCCCAATGGCTCCAGAAAGACAAGGAAATATGTTGGAAAATAATGCATTGAAGTAGTTCTAATTCAAAGCAAACCTAAAACTGCTTCTCTCCTGGGATCAATTCCCTTCATTGGAAAAAAAAAAAAAAAAAAAAGCAGGAAGCAAAGCCAAACCCTCTGGTGATCAAGAGAAGTCTTACTCACATTTTGAATTTGAAGGACAACAGTTATTTTCTGTGTGTGAACAATTTGGGGACATTTCCCTGAAAAGAAGTCGTCCAGTGACTAGGAGAACATTTCTATTTTTGGAGACAGGACTTCTCTGTGTAGGCCTGGCTGTCTTGAACTCACTTTGTAGACCAGCATGGCCTCCAATTCACAAAGATCTGCCTGCCTCTGCCTCCAAGTGCTGGGATCAAAGGCATGTGCCACTACACTCACATGGCTAGGAGAACTCAAGTAATTAAATTCAAGTAATAAAGAACTGGAAGTTTTCAAATATGGAATGTGTAACAAGGGAGAAACGTATGTCGAATTTCTCCAATTCAGGAGGAGGATGAGAGTAAAAGCTTTGTTTAACAACAAAGACAAGAGATGCTTAAAAAAAAAACACTTTAGTAGAAAAAAAGCTAGAATGCAAATCTTAGGAAGCCTCTGACATTGACAACTGGTCCAAGTTAAAGACAAAAAATGATGCAAACAATTAAAGACTGGAGCATGATGAAATGTATCTGGTGAGGTTTTGCTTGTAATTTACAAAACATACTTGTTGATTTTTGGTCTCCTGTGATTTTCATCCTGTATTTTCCCCTTTACTATGTTCTTCTAGTACAAGATGATCAGCACTTTTTCTATTATCTATTTTAGTAAGTATCTGTTAAATCAGCACAATAAATTTGGGGCTAAGTCATATGTACATACTCAAAAGTGGAAACCTTCAGGTTATTAATTTGTAAGATATTATGGCAGTTTTGGAGGCTAAGTCTTATGTACGTATCCCATACTCATAAATGGAAACCTTTAGGATATGAATTAATATGGGATTATGGAAGTAACTGTCACCCTAATTGAAAAACTTGTTTCCAAATAAAGTTTTAACCATCCACTTCAGTGTAATAGAATGCCAACAGCAATGACAACTGATTTTTCTTTTCAAGGGAAACCACAAAATGGGTGAAGAACCAGGGTGGTTTTTCTATTTGATAAATACATCCAGAACTCTGTACAGTGAATAAAATTTGCATGCAGTTTAAGTATTTTTAAATGATTTTATGCAAATAAACCTTTGCTTTATTGATGATGTATAAGACTCCCCTCCCTTTTTAATGGCCATAGGGATCTCTTCCCCAGTTCCAAAAGAAATCATAAAGACTGGGTACTTTCTTAAAGAGTATTCTACACATCATACTAAATAACATGCAAAGAGTTCAACAACATTCTTCTTAAAAGTTAAGTATTACTCTTTAAAACGAGCATGTTAACCACTGAGAAAAGTCCACGCAACTATTTCCATTACACTGCTTCATTTGGTCATCGGAAGTATAAAAGACGTCAAATAACATGAGATTCAACAAGTTAGTTTATCCAATGGCTATGGCATTATGACAATGTTCCAAGGACAACCAACATTCTATGCAATATAGTTGTACTGATTTGGATTTTCTTTATCTCTTTCCATGTAGTCCCGGTCAATTAGGGATTCTATTCTCTTCTTTAAATCAGCAGGCTGTAAGAGAAAACATATGTTTAATGCAAAGCTCATAATCATCAGCATAAGCCCATCCACCAACATCCCATTAAAAAAAGAGAGAGAGAGAGAGAGAACATAGCCTAGAAGGGATAGCACAAAGGCAGATCTCTGTGAGTTTAAGTCTTGCCTGGTCTACACAGTGAGTTCCGGGCCAGCCAGAGTGGCATGGAAAGAGCCTTTCTCAAAATTAAATTAAATTAAATATAGCTGGAGCATTGTAGCATACTTCTAAAATCCAAGCAAGTAGGAGGCCAGAGGCAAGAGGACTGAGAGTAAGATGTACTTGGGGTACAAAGTAAGACTCTGTCTCAAACAATCTAATGTGTTCCTTTTCATTTGTAACAAGTCTAGAATGGAGACACAGAAACACCTACTTTTACTGGAAATTTTAGCTGATTGTAGACTTCTGAAACAAGAAGATTGTGGCTAAGTGTTTTTCTCATCTTCATAATTCGGACAATCGCAGCATCAATTTGGTACTGTCTATCTTGAAATACTCTTTCTGTAGTGCTTGCTTGTTCTTCAACCTAAAAAAGTTTTCAGATGAAGTCAGTCTTACTTATTAACACACACTATATATTAGGGACCTAACAATGTTACTGTTCTGAAGGCACTGACTTGTCTAAATGGAACTTTAGATATAAGAGAGAAAAAAAAAACTTGAAAATAGCTCCTTTCTGTTCTAATCATACTGTCCTGTACCAATTAAAGCAATGTAATGCTGGTTAAGTGAAAATAACAACTTTGGGGACTGAGGAGTTACTCAGTTGTTCAAACTGTTTGCCCTTCAAGTATGAGGACATGATTTTTAAATTCAGATTTTTGTGAACTCACATAAAAACAGATTCCTGGAATTCAATGGCTAGCCAGTATAGCCTAATTAGTGAGTTCTAGGCAAGTAAGAGACCACATCAAGAAACAATGTGAACAGCTCCAAAAGAATGGCACCAGAGACTGTCCTTTGGCCTTCCCTAAAATTTAAAAATACTCATATTAATTGATCTAAAAATGTACTTCCATGAATTCATTTTTTTTTAATTTTTAAAAATTTTTATTTCATGTGCATTGGTATTTTGCTTGCATAGATGTGTGAGGGTGACAGATCCTCTAGAACTGTAGTTACAGCCAGTTGTAAGCTTCTATGTGGGTGCCGAGACTTGAAACTGGGTCCTCTGGAAGAACAGCCTGTGTTCTTAATCTTTCTGAGTCATGACTCTACCTCCCATGAATTCATCTTAAGGAAAATAGCAGAGAGATTAAGATTTAAGTTTGTTATAGAGCTATGTAGCACTCTTGTTGAATTTTAAAATGTGTGTGTATAGGGACATGAATTTTGTGGGTATGGTTGAGGACATCAGAGGACAACTTTGAGCATCAGGGCTCAGTTGCCTTTCATTTTTTGTTTGAGGTGGGGTCTCTTATCCAGCTTGGAACTTTGTCCTGTAGGCCAGCTGCCTGGTCATGGGCCTCCAAGGATCTACTTTACTTCAACTCCTACCTCCCCTCTCTGAGATTACAGAAATGAGACTCTAATTTCAAAAACAAGAAAAGAAAAAAATTCTATATAGCCCTCAACAGATGAATGTTTAACAAAAGCAAGGTACATACTTTCAATAGAAATGTATTCAGCTGTAAAGAAGAATAAAATGATGTAATCTGCAGGAGAATGAATGATAATGGAGATCATCATATTAAATAAAATAAACCAGACATAAGACTAATACCCACTTTCTTTCACATGTAGAATCTACACTGAAATATACACACACACACATATTCATGAATATATAGACACTAATGTAGAAATGAAATTAGTATGGGAAAATGGAAAAGGCAAAAGAAAATAGCTCAATTTCTCTCATACATGAAATCTGGATTTAATTAGATATGTAGTATGGGTCTGTGTGTGTGTGTTTGTGTGCACGCAAGCACGCACATGTGAAAGAAAGAAAGGTACGAAAGCAGGACAACTATTTGGGAGAAAGAAAGAGAGCAAGAGGAAGGTAGTGAGGAACTGAATGAGCAAGGAACACCACATTGTAAGGAACTGCCACAATTAAAATAAGGAAGAAGAAAACAAAATATAAAATTACATTGATGGGCTAAGGAAATAACTCAATGAGAGGACACAGATGGTTCTGCATTCCATCCCTAGCAATGCAAGAGCCCAAGCAAGCAAAACAAAACAAAAAGAAAAAAAAAAAAACAAACAACCAAACAATAATTTTAATTGTCAAACCTGTTATGTTTACTCAAAAAAAAAAAAAAAAAGAAAAAGAAAAGAAATATAAAAAATATAAAATCAAATACTGAAATATATTTGGTCAGATATAGTCACAGAAAATGTTAAGTGAAATGGCAGCATTAGAAAAATAAACATTCAAGTTTGGGACTGGAAAAACGGTTTAGAAGTTAAGAAGACCTGGGTGACATCCCCAGGATCCCTGTAGCTGTTCACAACCATCTGTAATGTCAGCTCCAGTGGATCCAATTCCCTATTCTCACATGTGGGCCAGATCACATATATGTAGGTAAAACACTCATGCATTTAATATAATTTTTTAATGTGTAAATTTCTACTATAAACACACATAAACCCAATATTGTAGGATTAGGAGAAAATGAAAGGTTTACCGTTTCTTTCATTTGGATTTGATTGATTTTTATCCTGAATAGTTTGTGTTTGAAATCGTCGTTACAAATGAATTTGTCACCGTCTTCAATATCTTTGCCCTTTGGATTTTTAGCCAGAACTCTAGCTTTGCCACAAGCTAGTGACTGCAGTGTTCTCCTTAATTCTCCATCCTCTGAAGAAATAATGGTTAGTTATTTATTTGTCAATAGCTTATAAATGCAAAATAAGTTTCTTAAATAGGTTACTTCATGTCATATATCTGAGTCACTATAGCACAGGCTTCAACTACATTCATCAGTCTACCTATATATCTTACCTATTGAATTTTATAGCTCATCATTCTAAGCTACAACAAAACCTTTGTTTCCTACCCACACTAACCACTCCTATTTCCAAGCCTTTTCTTACATTATTTCCTTTACTTCATATGCCTTCTCCCCAATCAAAATTTGAAGGTCTAACTCAAATTCCACTTACTTACACAATGATTACTTGCTTCGTTTAACTCTTAACACACTTCTTGTTAGCACTACATACTAGTACTTGCTGGTTTAGAAATCATTAAGAATATAGGAGGGGACTAGAGAAACATCTTACCTTTGAGGAATACTTTCTGGTCTTTCAGAGGACCGGAGGTCAGTTCCTAGCACCTACAACAGTGACTAACAACCACCTAACTCAATTTCGAAGGGATACAATGTCCCCTTCTGGCTTCCACAGTTTCCTGCATGTATGTGGTATATATACTCATACAGGTTCATAACATACACATAAAATACATATTTTTTTAAGGATAGAGGACAGCATTATTTCCTTGCATCTCCTAGAGCTATGAACACAAAAGTCTGCTACTTGACAGACACAATACAAACCTATCCCAGTTGCTTGTTTGATCTCTTCTAAACTGAACTCCTCTCCTTCATTAAACATTAGCAGCACCAGGGTTTGAAAAAGAGAGACCTGAAGTTCTTTTTTGCCCTGTTGGAGAAAAATCAGTTTATCCTGTTTTTTAAAACACATGAAAATTTAATCAAAAAGTAATAATCTCTAACAGGAAAACCATTTTTAATTAGTGAGTTAAGAAGCAAAGAAGATTAACATTATCCAAAAACCCTGCTTCAGACGGTAATATATTATGCAGTGCAAGGTTTAGGTGTGATTCTACAGAAAATGGGATAAAGGATTAGTTAGCCTATTAGCAGGTCTTTTATAATCCGTGTTAAAAGAGAACAAAGAAATGACAATAACTCAGCCCAGTATGTCATTAAAGACATTCACTATAAGCTCCAAGAACTTACTACTCTGAATGCATTTTTGAAACAAGGTTTCATGTAGCCCAAGCTAGATTTGCTTTGTAGGCAAATACGTTCTTGAACTCCCAATCTTCCTGTTTCCATCTACCAAATAATAGGATCACAGCCTTGTGCCACTATGCCCTCCTTTCAAATGCATTTTGACTTGATTCAGATCAATCATGAACTACAGAATTTTTTTAAAGATGGACATTATTTGCCTTTAATCTTCACTGTGCTATGATTTCTGATAAGACAGTGTAAACTTGGCATCCACAGGTACAGAAAAAGACTATTGCTTTCAATTTTAGAGAAGGGACAACTCAAATGTTGAAAAGGAGACTATCTTAAGATATACACAAAGCTATAACAAGATATCACTATTGCCATGTAGGTATCAAGGACACACTTATAATAAAGCAGATTAAACCTTCAAACCAAGGGACACAACTTCCATATAAAGACAAAGACAGAACTTAAGTTTGGAGAATATCCACTTACCTCTTTAAACTCGGCTTTTAGCACACAGTGTCCTAAGGTTGACTGCCATTGGAGTTTCCTGCCACTGTGTTTGCCTAAGTAAAATGTCTTGAAAATTTCCTGAAGCTTTACCATCTAAAACAGATGAAACTAGTGTTTTTTATGCTGCACATGCAATACCACCTTGAACATTATTTTTTAAACTTACTTATTGGACTATGCGGTAGGGGTACGTGCATGCCATAGTATGGTAGTGAAGCTCAGAAGACAACTTTCAGGAATGAAGTTCCCTCTTTTCACTATGTAGGCCCAGAGGGCTGAACTCAGAAGTCAAGCTTAGTTGCAGGTGCCTTCAACCCGGGGCCACCTCAATGACCTGCCTCCCTCTCACCACTCTTAAGCCCATCTGAAATAACTTGATAGTTTTCATGACTATGTCCAGAAGAACTCAATTAATTTAATATAAGGTGAAAATCTAACTAGCAAATGTAGCGGCACTTTGTGATCTTTACACACTTGGAACTCTTCTGCCCTATTTAATCATTCCTTCACCTCTGGTGACTTGGGCTTCTACATTCTACTGACTCCTTTCTTTCACTGCTGCTTCTGCCCAAGTTTCTTTTACAGGTTTCTCTTCTTACCATCAGCTCAAAGTGAACCTTTTTAAAAGTTCAAGGTCTGCCCTTTTTCTTTGTCTTCACCATATAGACTATCAGTATCTTTCTTTATTCAACCTTCTAGGTTTTAGTCCTGAGTGGGAAAGTTCCCAAGGCATTAGAGGCTACTCATATATTTGTTACCAACCTTGTCTTCAGGTAAAATTTGGTCAACATGTGACAGCTTGAAAGACTAAGAGGTCATAAACTAAGAAATAGAATAATAATAGAGAAATAGTGCTAAATTTAGAAAACTACCTTTATTAATAATGTCCTCAAGTAGACTTAGAAAAGTAAAAGAATAAAATATTAACACTCATACCTTGCTGCTATGTTTGCTGACATAAGCCTTTAAAAGGCACATATTTTCAAACAAAAAGCAGAAAAAAGGTGTGATTTCTATGCCTATAGCTTAGGTCTGAAACAGTTAATCTTACCTCTGGTGGCAAATGGACTTCCATAGGCACGTATGTTGGCCAGTAACCCATTGTCAGGATATTCACAGTTAATTCAATATTGCCCGGCACATTCTGGTTCTGCATATACTATAAGAAGATTAACACATACACTGAGATTATGAAAGTGTGTATATCATACCATAATACTCACTCATTTAAGAATTGCCTTACTCTAAAAATGTATATGAATACTGACCATCCTAAAAATAACGGCAACTATTAAGAAGACTTGAAATGAAGGCTACACAAAATGCAGCAGAAAAATACACAGGTGGCTGTTTTAATACAGTAGCATACAAAAATTCCATGAAAACATTCTAGGTGTTATTAACTCAATTTTTCATATATAGCTGAGCTGTTAGGGCATCTCTTCTCTATTCTTTTCCCCCAATGCTACCAACTTTAGTCTCCACCTTTGGAGATCCCTACATGAACTGGAACACCTTGAAGCCACTCCCATTCCTCACCCTACCAGCCAACCCAAGTCTGTTTTTCCAAATGTTCTATTCCCTGTTTGAAGATGGTGACCTGAGGTGGGAAAGGGAAAATAAAGGCAAAGGGGAAGGCAGATAAACCTAATTCTTCAACTACTGTAAGATCCAAGATCCAACTGACCCTGAACTTTTCAGTCTTTCAGTTCCATTTACTACCTTCAGTACAGCAGTCAAAAAGTCATTACTGAAACCCTGAAAGAGTATAATCTAATTTGCCATCACTTTTGCCTAGCTGTTGCTCTTTGAGACAGGGTCTCATTATATTGCCCACATATTATTATTTCAGCATCTGAAGCAGCTGGGACTATATTTACACAACTAAATCTAGTTATGTTTTTAAGAAAAAGCAACCCTCTACCTATCTCTTCAAAACTATAGATAACATTCTCATCCCAAATGTCCCCAGAGACATCATATACCAATCTCTGCCCTTAATCACCTCACCTCTCTCTCTATTACAAGTTTGGAACATGCAAATCCCAAACTGATTAGAAAAACCCTGTTCTTACTGTCTAGTACTAACTTTACACTAACTTACAGTAACTTTAGAATAATACATTTTTGTCTTATTCTGGATTTACTTACTAAGACTAAATCCTGAAATAGGTCAAACATACTTATATTTCATTGATAGTATTTGCACTCTACAATACTGTTTAAGTTGCTATGAAGTTTTTGTAACAAAGGTTTCTATTTATCCTCTTAAATACAAATTTCCCCAAAGACATGACTTAAATGTCCTTAAGTTCAAGGAATTAAGTAAGAGTTTAACTCACTTTTACCTGTTTAAACTGAATCATGATGTCTTTGGAAAGCTCCATGTCTTTAAACATCCCTTCAAGCTTACTGGTGAAAGCAGCTCCACATTCTATTAAAGATGTTTACATATTTGTATTTCAAGGTAATACAACAAAGAAAAAAATTTAAATCACAAAATAATATGCAAAACTTACTTGGGCATAAAATATGATCTATAACTATTCGTAAGAATGAAAAGAAATTCTTACCCCATAGTGTGTGCCCTAGTAATTCAGATGTACATTCTCTAACCCTGTGAAACCTTATCCAAATTCAGGAATAATATACTTGAGAAATTTTAATACAAGTAAACAGAAGAATAATTTTTTATCTTTAAAACAAGCTAACAATTTTGGATATCAACAAAAGCTAGGACCCCCATAACCTCACTTACTTTATGGTTTTGTGTGTGTGTGAGGGTTGGGATAAGTGTGCACCCTGCATGTGGAAGCCAGAGATGTTGGCTGTATTGTTCTACCACACTCTACCTTATTCCTTTGACATAGGGTCTCTCATTGAACCTAGAGCTAGGCTGGAGTCTAGGAAGCCCCAAAGATCCTCCTGTCTGTGACCCTCACCCCATCCCCAGCCACTTTTTTGTTTGTTTGTTTGTTTGTTTTTGAGACAGGGTTTCTCTGTGCAGCCTTGGCTACCTTGGATTCACTTTGTAGACCAGGCTGCTGGCCTCAGACTCACAGAGATCTGCCTGCCTCTGCTTCCCCAAGTGCTGAGAGTACAAGCATATGACACCCCACCCGGCTCCACATGGCTTTTTTTTTTAACATGGATGTTAAGGATTCAAACTCACATCCTCATACTTATGCACAAAGAGCTGTTACCCACTGAGCCTCCCCATCTCTGCAGTTCATGTTTTTATCATGTGTATATAAAACGAACGACAAAAGAAGCAACCAATGAAAAGAGTACAATTAATCCAATTTTTTCTCAAATATTAAAAAAAAAAGAAAAACCAAAATGATAAAAGAAAGAACGACAAACATACCATGCTTCAGTTTAGACAGCATTGACTTTTCAGCATCTACTGATGCACTCTTGCCAACTAATAGGCGTTTCGCTAAATCTTTCTTATAGAAGGCCTCAAAAACATCTTTGCCTATATTAAATAAAAACATAATACTCATATGACAAGTAAAGCTCTAACAAAAGTTTCAAAAGTTTAACCACAACATTCAAAGTTATTTAATCTTTATACATTTTATCAAAGTTTATTAAACTCAAGAATACTGAGACATTTCAAAACATCTTTACTATAAAAAATTAATACTGTACTAACTTTTCTTCACAAAAAACTTTTGTACACTGGTACTGTTAGCACCAAACTCAAGAGATTAAAACAAGAAACAAAATCCAGGTTCTTAATAGTGGAAAGGTCAAAACACAAGGCAATTCTTCAACTATTCTTAAAGAATTAAAAATATGCAACAAATAAAATACAACCTGTAGTTCCCAAAGAGTCTTTCCAGGTTATATAAAAGTTTCCAGTTCCTCTAGGAATGCTGTATTGTTTTGTTTTCTGTTTATTTTGAGACAGGGCCTTGCTATATTGCCCTTGTGTTGGCCTGATACTCACTATGTACTCTAAACAGCAGTACTGCCTTGTCTTCCTGAGTTATGGATTGCAGGTGCTAGCACTATGCCTGGTTCAGAGAATGTTTTAATATAAAAGCGGTAATCAGCCCTTACCATAGATAAATCTAAATATAATCATTATTTTATCCAACATTTTCTCAAGTTCTTCATCTGTAGCTTCTTTGTTGCCTGCACGAAGTTTTGAATCCACATACTTAGCTAAAATGGAGAAAAAATATTGTTGTTTAATGACTATGGGTATCAAAAAGGCACGGGCCACTTACACTTACCCAAATAATACTGAATACCAAAAATACTGAATCAGACAGAGAAGCATTGTCTCGAAAAAGAAAAAAAAAACAAAACACCAAAATACCAAGTTAGTATTTCTGCTATATGTAGATGCATTGTATAAAAGTTTCTAATACAAGGGAGATCAAGTTAACTTGTCAGTGTCACAGGGCTAATAAATACCACAATCTAAATGCATTAAATCTGACTCCACACTGAGTATGCTTTCCACTACAATGACATAAAAATAGGGTATGGAAGGGTTGCATGTGTAACTCTGGTAGAATATTTGCCTAGCATATGCAGTGCTCTTGGTTCAAACTCTAGTACTTCAGAGTTTTTTAAAAAAGAAATCAAAGACAGAAAGAAAAAAATGAGGTACAAAAACCAGCTGAGGTGGCACGTGCCTGTAATCCCAGCACTTGGGGAGGCAGAGGCAGGTGGCTCTCTATGAGTTCAAGGCCAGCCTTGTCTACAAAGCAAGTCCAGTACAGCCAAGGTTACACAGAGAAACCCTGTCTCGAAAAACCAAACAAACAAAAAAGAGGTACTGATAGTTCACAGTGGAGGATCAAAGTAGCCCTATGTGGGGGTAGAAAAATTAACCAGAAAACATGTGTATCCTCTAAAGTTTCCATTTTACACAAATAGTATGCATTCTTAAACATTTTCTTTTTAAATAATCAGAAACAATAGAGAACGCACAATTAATAAAACGTTTAAATGTAAATAAAGTCACGTTTCAATCAAATCCAACTCCATCCTTTTGGCAAAGGAGCTAGTTTATTAGGGTATTTGTTCTCCTGACATCAATGAGTACATGTGCGGAAACCATGAGAAGCACTGCAACACACCTGTATACTTTGTGAGCCTGTACTATTAGATTTATTTTTATACTGGACTTTTATTTTCCATCCTGAACTTTTTATCTGTTTCCATTGGTAATTAAATGCTGCCTTTTTCCTGTAGCTCTAAGTGGAGACTTCTAGAAAATAGCATTCTGCCCCATTTCTAAATCATTATAGGCTTGGAAAGCACAGAATCAAGGTTACTCAGTAAAAGTAAATGCTATTCAATGTTCTATCTCACAGAATTTATGTCATGCTTGACATAAAGACTTTGAGAAGCTGTTTAGCATGAAGGACTTTACTATTTTTAATTTTTCATTTTATTTCTATTAATTACAGTTTATTCACTTTGTATCCTAGCTGTAGCCTCCTCCCCCTCTCCTCCCAATCTAACTCCCCCCTTTTTCTCCCATGCCCCTCCCCCGTCCAATGATAGGGGAGGTCCTCCTCCCCTTCGATCTGACCCTAGTTTATCAGGTTTCATCACGGGCTGGCTCTTTGATCACCTCCATCTGAGCGGGGAGTAGCCTTACCAGTCCAGAGAAAGACAAGGACTTTACTTCTTACAACCATGTCCTTAGAGACACATTTCAGACTTGGTATCACTAGCTAAGCAACCTCAAACAAACAAAGAATGGGTATAATATCATTTTACCTGAGTTTATCAATAAAAGAACATGACACAACAACAACAACAACAAAAAAAAAGAATATGAACCATACCTATCAGTTCAGCTGGTTTATTTGGTCTTTTATTAATGAATGTTTCAAATGCTTCTTTCATGGCATTGATAAATTTTTCATTTTTCAGAAAGCAGGTATCAATTATATGGTCAACTTTATCTTTAAAGTCCAATAATTCTTGAACCATGGTTTTATCTTTTTCAGGATTAATAACAATAGTACTTCCAAAAGCCTAAAAATGAAAATGGTCTGTTTTATAGTAATTGATATATATAATGAAAAATACCACATCATATTCTAAGTTGGCACATGTCCTAACAATCATATGTACTTAACAGCCATACAATGGTACAGCTGTCTCTGAAGAAAAAGAAAACCCTAAACAGATAGTGTTCATTCATAAACACACGCAAAAAAAAAAAAAAAAAAAAAAAAAAAAAAAAAAAAAAAAAAAAAAAAGGAATTACTGTTGGGTACATGATATCCTAATGGGGTGTTACTAGAAGACTCTAGGAACTTTTTCTTATTGTTAAGGAAGTCAGATCTGTACTTTTAAAGATAACAATGTGGAGAGGGAGGGAGGCAAAATGAAGGAGGGAAGAAGGAAGGGTTTGTGGTTCAAAATTGTAAGAATAGGTCCTACAATTTATCTTAACCAAATGGCTGCAGATTGTGAACAATCCTTTAACTTCCCATACTCTGTGATTTAAGTCTGATTTAAGGCCTAATATTCTATGCAGCTAATGTTCTCAAGGTGACATTTCAAAATTTTCAGTTTTTAAAAAAATTCCTTTACAGGGTGCTGTGGTGCACACCTGTAATCCCAGCACTCAGAAAGGCAGAGGCATCTGGATCTCTGTGAGTTTGAGGACACCTGGTCTACAAAGAAAATACAGGACAGCCAAGGTTACTCAGAGAAACCCTGTCTCAACAAAAACAAAAAAAAACAAACAAAAATTCCTTCCTTAAAAAATTTTCAATCTAGTAAGAAATGCTTTTTGATCCTCTTGGTATATAGATTACAAAACATACAAGATAAAAGTCAACAGGAAACTGGTAATACCTTGATATACTCAATCCACTGCTGTAAGAGAACCTGCACTCCACCTCGAACTCTACTGAAGAGCTGATACAGAAGAGACAAATCTTGAATTCGGTTTTCATCAAGGAGGTTATTTAAACCTGGTTTGAAATATTTTGGTATTAAAATATGAGAATCAAAAAGTGAATAGAATTGCCATGCATTTAATAAAAATATAAGTTGAAATTAACTATTGTGATACTGGTCTAAACTATAACTAGAATTTATGTGAGTATAATTCAGGTAATCCTGTAAGACCATTAAGGTTTAGAAGTTCTTGGCTTTACATGTTAAGAATAAAACAACAGCAACATCATCAACAACAACAAAATACACACACACACCCTACAACAACATCCCCCACCTCCACAAAAACAACACACATACACCCCAGTTTGAAATACAAGGAATACTTACAATAAAAAACACACACATACACCTCAGTTTGAAATACAAGTAATACCTACCTTCTTTTACTATGCCCTTTCCTAAAAAAAAAAAAATTCCCATTGTTTCTATATTTTTGTTTGTTTTTTAGTACTGAAGATGAACTCAGGGCAACGCACATATACTAAAATGCTCTATCGCTGACCCACTCCAGGCCAATTTCCTTACTGGTGTGTATTAGTAGGCCTCTCCTCTCAGTTCCACTTTCAGCCAGGAAACTGGCAACTACAGAAAAATTTAATTGACAATGAACTTGGGAAAGACTTGTCAGTCTTCAGAAATGAACCACATGCTTATCAAGTTTAAGTCTATCACATGTTTTTGGTCAAGTTGTTGTCAAAAATGACTTTAAGAACTAAAATTTAAAACTGCTACACACAAAAATAATCCACAAAACATTTTACATTTTCCTTTATTTCTGATGGTTCTATGATGCACTATTACCAGTGCAATCTTTTCATTCTTAATCCTAAGTGGCCAACAAGGCAAATAGTTCTGAAAGCGTACTCCTACAACTGATCAAGACTATGGGGGCACATGTTATAAATAATATTCATTTAAATCTTCTGAACTTTCTGAGCAGATGTAGTGGTAACCAGTTTTTATGTGTATAAGTGTTTTTTTTCTACATGTATGTGTACTGTGTGCATGCCTGGTACCCAAAGAAGCTAGAAGAGAGTATTGGATCCCCTGAAACTGAAATTATAGATGGTTGTGAGCTGCCATGTGGGTGCGAGGAATTGAACTTGAGTGCTCTGTAGGAGCAACAAATGCCCTTAACCACTGAGCTATCTCTCTAGCCCTGGGAATCTCTTATTAAGAAACTGAAAATTGGGGAGGGATCGGGAGGGGAGGAGGGAGGGGCTTATGGGGGGATACAAAATAAAGTGTAATTAATAAAAAATTTAAAAAAGTAAAAAAAAAAAAGAAACTGCAAATTACCTTTCTGAAGAATTGATGTTAAGTGTTCACCTAGAAGTTGTTTTTCAACAGAAGCAATTAGTGACTTCCTAAAAGGGAGGAAAGAGAATTATTAACATCTGACCATCTTAAAATTTACAGCCATTGGTGAAAACAAACCAAATACCTTATTTTACATTATTTTTGCCATTTCTATTCAATGTGTCAACTTAAAATAATGCTCCAGATTTATTCTACATTATGCCTAGAGGGAAAAAATAATGTGCCTTTCAGAATTTGCTCAAAGCAATCATCTCCATGGTCTTGCTGTGCCTAGCTTTGTCCAAGTTTTTCTTTTTACTAAGAAGGTGATCTATGCTGCTTAATGGGAACAATTGGTTGGTAAGATTAATAAAGTACAGAAGCAGTTTCTCTCTGAACACCCACTCACTGAATTTTAATCAGTCTAAAGATTTTAAAGGCTGGGCATGGTGGTACTTGCCTGTAATTCCAGAACTTAGGAGGTTGGCATGGAAAACCCTGAGTTCCAGGGCAACCAGGGTTTTAGTAAAACTCTGCCTCAAAATCACCAAAAGAGTTTTAAAATTCTCATTAGCCTCTAATACGATTTTAAAATGATATACTAAACACACAACCAACCAATAATCAAATCCCTGACTAAATCTAATTAGTTAGGGAAGATAATAACTTGAAGCACACATTATTAAAAAAAGGTTAGACAAAATCATACTTGAAAATTGTTACATGTTTTAAATGCCTAAAGCACTTTACTAACAGTTTTAAGACTATTAGGCTGAGCATGTAATACTTACTGAGTAGTCTGATCTAAGTAAGTAATAAGTCTGTCTGCTTCTTCTTCTAGGCGTTTATTAACATGATGAAGATACTCAGGAACCTACAAAGATAGTTTTTATATTATTGTTTTCCTCCCCTTAAAGCATTCAGAAAATGCCAAGTCCAAAAGATCCGGGAAACAGCCCCGTCAAATGTGACAAACAGGGTAGAATCATATGTAAAATTAGAGGTAGAGTTTATGATCCAGAATTCTGGCCTTTAAGAAGAGAGAAAAGAAAGGAGCACTTAAGTGAGAGAAGAAAGAGCATTACAATGCTGGGAATATAAATACAAAAAGGGAAGTTGGTGTTCTATAATGTAATGTCTATTGTAAGAGACAGTGTATTTATTAATCATGATTTTTAAATACCTCTCTTTCTTGCATTAACTTCTGACCTTCAGCTGCATAAAGACGGTTAGTTTCTTCCAAAAATCGTTGTTCAAAAGAGTCTTGGTAAATCTAGGAGGAGGGAAAAAAGTATTTGTTTATTCATTAAAATATTTACTGAATGACTTCCATTTGAACTCTGTTTGAATAGCACTCTGACTGTGAAATTCAAACATCAGACTAGGAACAGTAATCAGATTTGAAGGTAGTGCAGTGAGTATTAAGTGTAACTTACTTGCAAATCAGACAGCATACTTAAAAGGCTTCGAAGTAAAGTTCTATCAATTGCTTCGCCATTCCGTTCTCTCTCAATCAGGAGAAGGATGCCATCAATTGTTTTTGTTTGGACTTTTTGATCACTTATAATATGAGCCCTAAATAACTCTAATCCCATGTCCCTAAAATTAAAAAACAACAACAACAAAACTGTCATCTGGACTGGCAATATCATGTGTGAACAGGTTGAGTTAACTTATCACATGTTAACTGGGGCCTCAGACTTTGAAGCACTGATTATAAAAGCATAAAATCCACATTCAATTTTAAATAACATTATTAGATTAAAGCAGATTGGAAATGCATTTTGTCTTTAATGAAGACTGAAGCTAAATTTCTGGCTTCCTCCATAACTAGGTTTTATTGCCTTTTTTTCTCTCAAGGGTATTTTTTTCTTAGTCAAATCAAAAATAAAATTAGTTCAAAGACATAAAATAATTTCCACTATACTGGTATTGAAAACCTTTTTGGCTATTTATTAACTGGTTTCAGAACTCTAAAATCAGTGAATTTCAATCATTACTCTAGGTATATGCTAAGCACCTGGTAAGGGACAAATTCATTATACTATTTTATTTTCATGAACAGACTATAGTTACAAGAAAAGAGGTTAAACTTTATTATTCAGCAGCAATAAGATTCATGCATGGAAATTATTGAGTAAACTTTAATCTTCATAACTAACAAAGAAATGTCTCCATACACTATATGGGGAAGTTAGCTATCTGCCATATTAGACCATAGTATTTATGTCTTCATGCACGATGGGGAAAGTTAGCTATCTGCTGTATTAGAGCAGGCCAAAAAAAAATGAAAACACACACACACACATACTAACCGCTAGAACCCAAATGTGAAATTTTAGGAGAACAGTCTGATTACAGCTTGTTCTCTTTTGTTATAATAAACACTATGACAAAACAATTTTTTTCATAAATTTCTGGTATCCTTACCAAATGGAGGGTAGCATTGAATTCTGAAGAACATAAGTTCTATCCAGAAACAAAAAAATGCTCCTGATCATTATCTGTCAAATAAAAAGAAAAAAAAAATCAAGCAATTTCTGTATATTTGAACTGCAGCATTAGCTCTTAATAAATTAAGAATTTGAAAGATTTTATACTAAATAGACTACTAAGATCCAACATGCAAATAAATACAACTAGCTGAGAATATGTGCTATAGATTTATCTTTAAACTATACTAATTCTTTTGATTTCTACAGGACAGAGAATTAAGATGTTCCTTTGATGCCTTTGCTACTTAATACTTAAGTAACTGAGAAGGAAAACAGGAGGCAGACATGGTTATATGCCTATAATCCCAGAACTCAAGAGGCCAAGTAAAGGTAGGAGGATCTTGAGTTTCAGGATAGTGTGTGCTATATAGTTAAGTTCTAGGCCAGCCTGTGCTACACAGTGAGATCCTGTCTCAGAAAACAAAACAAAAACAACAACAACAACAAAAACAACAGGAAAAACAAGGTATACTTTGTTTTTTCTTAGCAGCAAGGAGAGGGAATAAAACTGCCTTAAACTGTATCCATGGCATTTAGGGGATTGTGAAGTGGATTTAAAGATCTCTATTTGCATTAATATAAATGAATAAACTAATGCCAGGCTAGGGAAGAAGAGAAAATTTATTACCTAAACTAAAACACCAACTTTCACAAGTAATTAAATAATATATGAAGATGTTGCCTATAAGACTGATAGAGGAAGATGCAACTTTAATGAAAAATAATTTTGGGTCAATAAATAATTCAGCTAAAAATATAAAGGAAGTCAGGTGTGACAGCTGATGCATGTAATCCCCAGCACACTGGAGGCTGAGGCAGGGGAATTGCCATCAATCTGAGGCTAGAAACTACAGAGTAAGCTCAAGCTAGTCTGGATACAGAGTGAGAAAAACTCAATCTCAAAACAAAAACAAGACTCTAAAGTGAAAATAATTCTTAAAATCAGGTTTAACTACACTCAAATACCTACAATTTACAGTTTTAAAAGACAAAAATTCAGCCAAAATTAGTTTCCAATTTAGAAAAAGAATAATTATAAAGAGCCCCCATATTACAAAACTTTTGTTCTTAAGTATTGTGTAATAATTACACAAGACAATGGGTTTCATTATACCACTTTCATATATGTATATTGCATCATTTCATTTGTTTCATTATACCATTTTCATAGATGTATAGTAAAAAGCTGTTATTTTATTCACCTATCTCTTTTGTAACAAGGCAGCTCAGACTGGCCTAGAATGTATAATACTTTGGTCTCAGCCTCCCAAGTGCTGGAACTCCAACTGACTATAAAATTTTGTTGCTGTTACTATACAATGCTCAGGATGCAACCTAGAGTATCACTCAAGGTAAGCTACTGCTTCATCACTCAGCTATACACTGATTCCTTCAACACAGCTGTCAAAATATTCTAGAACTTGAACTTTTTCGAAATGAAGTATATAGTGCTATGTCCAACTTACCATTTGTCTACAATGATTTTGCCAGCATTTATCAATCTTTTTTAGAAAAAGAACACTATCCAATGAATCCATGAGACAGATGTTAAGGATATTTTAAAGTGTTTCATATAAGTAATAGATGTAATATAAAAACATACTTGTCTTAAATACAGAATATCCCATATGCTAAATGAAATTAAATAGGAATTATACAACATACTTCTATTTTCTAAACTTCAGAAATAATTATATCTCCCTTAAACTACCTTTAAATAGTGTTAAACATAACTGAGCATTATGTTTTTCTCCTTAAGATTTCCCTCAATGGAAATCTGCCAGGACAAAAGGTTAAGAGGAAAGTTTTACTTAAACAAATACCACACATGTAGATTTTGACTAATTAAAACTGAACAGTTTCAAACTTTGTTCTTTCCTTTTTAGAAATAACAAGATGGAAATAAATCTAACACCACAGGCATTCCATTTCAAATTAAGCTCACAAATGAGAGATAAATAGTAAAGAAAAAAACAAAATTAAGGTATTTTATTTTGAGGGGCTGGAGAGGTTAAGTGGTTAAGAGTATGGATGCTCTTCAAGAGGTTCTGAGTTCAATTCCCAGCAACCACATGGTGGCTCACAAGCATATACAATGGGATCTAATGCCCTCTTCTGCCATGCAGACATACATACACATAAAGTATTCACAGACATAAATATATAAACAAATCTTTAAAAAGGTATTTTGTTTTGAAAAAAGATATTCTCTGAATTGATTAATCTGTGCTTTGATGTGATCTTCACAGATCTGTCTCAGCTGCTTATACAAATTAGCAGAAATCTTGTAAGAACAAAGATTTTCTACAGCCTGCAAGACAAAACATATAATTTGTTAAGATAGGATAGAGTGGGAAGAGGGGAGTCTTAATTATCACAAGAAGTTATTATTTTGTTATATGCTGTATCAGCTCGTTGAAAATAACCTATTTGTCAATTAAAAAAATGGCAACAACCCAGGAGACTGAGGCAGGAAGATCAGATGTTTGAAGCTAGCCTGGAAAACCTTAGTCTCACACACATACATACAACATACAGCCTCTAAAACAGCTACAAAGTAAAACAAGAAAAAATACTGCTGGGGGTGGTGAGTACCCCTGTAATCCCAGCACTCTGGGATGCAGAGGCAGGTGGATCTCTGGAGTTCCAGCCAGCCTGCTCTACAAAGTGAGTCCAGGAAAGCCAATGCTACACAGAGAAACCCTGTCTTAAAAAAGGAAAAAAGAAAAATACCAATGTGGGTGAATAACTTCTTCATTACCTCTGTACTACTGAAAAAAGTCCACATTTGTATCTTTATGATATACTATACTTTTGTTTAGGCTATACTAAAGGTTAAGTATAAAGGGAAACATGCAAAGTTCTACCCTGTGAAGATACTCAATTCAGAGTACATACAAAAGCTCTCATTGCAAATGATATTATTTTTCATAAGCAGAATGCTATTAAGTTTAAAAATAATCTTGCCTGTTTTTTATGTATGAGATGGGCCATGAAAAACTACAACTCAATTAAAACTTATTTATAGTTCATTGGATTTTCCTGAATACAAAAAGTGAAAATTATTGCTTCCAGTATTAAAATTAGTGTGGTATAAGTAAACACTATGAAATTCTCTAATGTTTCAGTTTATAAATAGTTGAATATAGGGGTTACAAGTTGGGCTTACAAAGTGAATAAACTGTAATCAATAAAAAAATAAAGTAATTAAAAGAAAAACAAGTTGGGCTTAGAAGAACACTTGACTAAAGAGCTTGAGGCCCATATTCCATATTATGAACAACAAAATGAATGCATTTTTACTTCATTAGAGTACTTGAATGTATTCTCAAAAATTAACAGGATAAGTTCACATTTTGTGTTTCTAATTGTATCAAAAGCCTTTCAAGTTTAAAACAACAGGCATGGTAACAAGTATGTTAATCCATAATTGGCAATGGCTCAAATGTAACACCAAGATTCCTATCTCACCACAAGATAAAAATTCCATTAAAAGGGACTGGGGGGTGTCCAAGTTCTGTTGGTCAGACTGTAATTTTGTAAATATGTAGCTGGATGTCACATTGCTAGAATTCAGTCCAGTGCTAGAATTCAGTCCAGTGATCACATTTTTAATAAATAAAGCTTTAAAAGGAGCCTACTTATTCCACTGGAGGAAAACCATCAAGCCTCAACAGGAGACGGTAGACCAATCAGATTTAACAGCCATGGAGAAATAGGAACACTGAGTCTCCCCTGAAAAAGACAGTTACAGACCACGTAATCTGGAGTTAGGTCACAAATGCCTAAAGTTGCACTTGTTTCATGTACTCCCCTACTCATACAGGTCCTAGGTAGGGTGTCTTCCTTCTTCCATTATAATACTTCTTGTTACTCTATCTGTGGTCTTTTTGAACGGCTGACTCATTTCATCAAGCATTTCTCATTTCCTGCTTAGGCTGTCAATATGACATAAACTTCATCTTTTCTACTTTCCCTACTTCTGATACTTCAATAAATTCTATTTCCTCTTATGTTCTCTTTTATCTCATAAAAGTTCTTGACACATCTATTTATCATCTCACATAGGATACCTACCACATTTTCTGTTACTTTTCAACTAGGTACTACTTCTTCCAAATAAGGTAACTCCTTTCATTGCCACAGATTTGCCTAATGCTTCTCTACCCATCACACTACACTGACTTGTCACTAAATCAGTACTCTTTCTTTTTATGTGTATATCCTGTCTCCTTAACTTTACTTAATGACAGAGTGATCACAGCCATAAGCTGATACTTTGAGTTTCAAAATGTGAGTGTTTATAATATACCCTGCATATTAGAAAGGACTTTTATTAGAATGAAAAACATGAGGAGAAAATTAGAGTGTGAGCTAAGTATTGTTACAGGCATAATCAGAGAGATACAACTACCTATCACAGCCCTTCGAAAGGGAAGTTAGGAGAAGTCTGCAAGTCTCCCCAAAGACCCAGAGTGAAATGGGTAGAGTGCTAATGAGAATGAGAAACAACAACAACAAAAATGAAGCTGAGCTTTACATATAGCCTCATCTATGCTTAGCTGAAAGGTGGTAGAGTAGACTATAGCTAGTACAGCTCAGTGGTAGACTATTTGTTTAGCATGAGTGAGGTCCTGGGTTCACAATCTAGTAAAAGATGGTGTGTAAACACAGGGTCTTAAAGCTTTTGAAGGTAGTCAGGCATAAAATGCAAACATTTAGCAAGCTTTTAACCCTTATTCTTCCAAATCCCAGGCCTGATCCTACAAAACCCATATATCACATTAAAAACACAAAACCCACCCTAACAACTTGTTTGGGGGAAAAAAAATATATGAACAGAAAATGGAATGTAAATGTTTCATTAACAAAAACAATAAGATAAAGAATTCTTACCAAGGTGCTAAACTCTCATAGGCATACTATGACAGTTAGGTATTATTTTTCAAACTTATTTTTCTGTTTTTGAGACAGGGTTTTTCTTTGTAGCCCTGGTTGTCCTAGAACTCACTCTGTAGACCAGGCTGGCCTCGAACTCAAGAGATCCACCTGCCCTCTGCCTTCTCAAGTTCTGGGATTAAAGGTGTGTGTAACCACCACCCAGCTTATTTTTCAAACTTTTATATTTAAAAAAGGAAAACAAAAAATAAAATAAAGAAAGGAGGGGCTGGAGAGATGGCTCAGAGGTTAAGAGCACTGCCTGTTCTTTCAAAGGTCCTGAGTTCAATTCCCAGCAACCACATGGTGGCTCATTACCATCTCTGATCTGGTGCCCTCTTCTGGCTTGCAGGCATACATGTAGGCAGAACATTGTATAAATAATAAATAAATATTAAAAAGAAAAAAGAAAGGAAAGCAAGTGGCTGGTTAGGTAACTCAGGGAGTAAAAGGCATTTGCCAAGCATGAGGATGAGAGTTTCACTGATGAACTGACAAGGTTCCTCTGACCTCTAGAAGCATTCTGTGGCATGTGTCTCTTCCTCCCCCATTACACAGGGAAGCACACATAAATTAAAAAATAAATATTTTTTTTTTAAAAAGAGCTGGTTGTGGTGGGACATACCACTATGGATAAGTTCAATAAAACAAGGGACAGCTAATGTTGGTGATGATGTGGAATAAGGGAAACAAGCACATGGAAGGCAGAGGTAAGGGGATCTCTAGGAGCTCAAGGACAGTCTGATCTACATAGTAAGTTCAAGGCCAGCTAAAGCTATATATTGAGACCCTGTCTCAAAGAAAAAAGAAAAAAGAAAAAAGAAAAAAGAAAAAAAAGGGAAAGAAAAGAAACTGTGTATGGTAACATATGCTTTTAAGCCCAGCATTCAGGAGTGAGGCAGAAAATATCTTGACTCTAAGGACAGACTTAGCCTCAAAACACACGAACATAACGCAAAAATTCAATAATATATACCAATAAAATGAAGTCCCTGAAACTGACTGGATTTACTAGGCCCCTCTCTGACAGAATGCATAATAAAAGCTGAAAATCCCTGACACAGAGAAAAGCTTAGCTACAAGGAAGACTCTGAAACCAAAATAGCTTCTTGGATGGGGTTTAGACAAACTGAGGTACCTGAAAAAGACAGTCTCCAACCCGTTCAGCTGCCTGCAGGGTATTTGTGTTCCATGTTCCCAGCTTTGTGAGCTCTCTATTACCCAGGCTGGGTGGGCTTTAGTGATAAAGCTATCTTTGAGGCATTTCTGTTCCTGTAAGTAACCCCTCACTCAAACCCCAATAAAACTCATTGGTTCACCAAGTTGGACTTTGATGGTATCCAAACTTTGGTCTATCATGGGCTCCCCCTTTCTGGGGGTGAGTAGGTGTATATGTGTTTTGCCACTCCCCAGGAAAAGTTTTGTCATTTAATATCATGTAGCAAACAGTGCTTCAATAAGATCAATTATCAAGGATCTTTATTGAGACTGCACACTTTAAAAATGATTAGTGACAGTACTAATGATTCATTTTAAGGAGAAATATGTAACAGAATATGATCTTTTAAGCCATCAATGGACTCAGTCAGATGTGTTGCTCATGTATGTAATCCTAACCTTGAAGCAATTAGACTGCCAGGAGTTCAAAATCATCATAGGCTACACAGAGTTCTAGGGACAGCCTGGGTTAGGAGTCCCTATCTCAAAATAATAAAAGCGGCTGGAGATGGCTCAATGGTTAAGAGTACTTGTTGCTTCTGCAGAGGACCCAAGGTTCCATTCCCAGCACTCACAAGACAACTAACAAATATCTGTTAATGTTTCTGGTATCCGAAGGCACTGTATACATGTGGTATATAGACAAACATGAAGGCACAATACCCAAATACATTAAATTAAAATAAATCTTAAAACACAATAAAAAAAGGACAAACAGGTGACATCCGCTAAACTTTGAGAAACCAATTTGTAGTAATCAAAACTGTTAAAAATTTTAAGTGTTCTCCTATAACTACTGACTGCTTAGGTAACCACATTTTACAACTGATGATAATCTACACTGAGAGAGAGATGCACAGCTTCACTTTCATAGAACTTCAGGTTATTAAGAAAGGTAATTTTAAAATTCAGAAACAATTATCATTAAAGTACTGTTTTGAAAAGACAATAGGCCAGGAACAAATTAATCCCAATACTTGGAATGCAGAGGCAGGTTGATCTCACTGAGGGCAGGTTGGTCTACACAATGCAGTCAAGGGCAGCCAGGTATACACAGTGAGACCCTATTTTAGAAATAAAATTAAAAATAAATAAATTAAAGTGATGGGTATGGTGGCACCCACCTTGAATCTCAGAACTCAGGAGGCAGAGGCA